TATGTCAAGAGTTGCCCAGCTCGCAGTGGTTCAGGAACCCCTCAAGAACCCACTCTGAGCTGGAAGCTCTTCGCAGACTAACGACAACTCTGCCGTCATGGTCTGTACTATGAGCACATAGCTTACTCACATTCTCCTATAGGAAGTTTGGCAAGCAGATCCAGAAGCGTCAGCTTGAGGTGCCCGAATATGCTGCCAGCTTTGTCAACTATAAGGCCCTGAAAAAGGTACGCCCATGTCATTCCCGCCCCTGTTAACCTTCCGTTCCTGCCACCGAGAGCCCCGGCGTCCGTCCATCTACCGACTCCGCTGTCATCTCCCACGCTGCAGTGGTCGGTCCACTCTATCACTTTTTCCAAGGCCCTTACAATCTTTCCTCTTCCAGTTGCTCGGTCTGCATTGCTCAGCTCTGGTTGTCAACTGGCTACTCAGTTTTCTATTCGTCTCCCTGCCCTGGCCCCTACTGTTCCCACTGCCGTTCTGGGCTATTCTTCTCTGAGTATATGCCCTGCTTTATTCGCAGACCCCATCACCTTGGGTATGAAGTATTGCGCAGTGTGACAGTGGCTGGCCAAAAGCAATTCCTTGTTTCTTCATTCGTCTTCCCATCCACATGCACGTTTCTTCATCGCCACCAGATTGCGCCTTGACCAACTCTTGGGATTTCTTCCACTGACACGTTGCCATGTAGCTCATCAAGAAGCTGTCGGCAACCCCTACACTGACTTCACAGAACGATGTTCTCCGCTCAGCCACCCCCGTGGATTCCCAGGCCGCTCTCCAGGCCAATAAAGCAACCTTCTTCTTCCAACTGGTAAGTAGTTAACTCTGGTGTTCCGTCTTCGCCATGAACATCCCGACATGGTTACTAAATGAGGAACAGGAACGGGAACTCGACAAGGTCAATGCCTTCTACCTACAGAAGGAAGCCGAGGTTCGTACCACCCCTGGAACACAAACATGTCATATTTAGCTAACATATTGTAGCTCAAAATTCGCCTCAAGACGCTGCTTGACAAGAAGAAGGTGCTACAGTCCCGGCACGGCGTCTCTCGGCGCTCAGCCAAGTTCACTACCCTCGAAGAAGGCTTCCAGCAGTTTGCTACCGACCTAAACAAACTCCAACAGTTTGTCGAGATCAACGGCACTGCTTTCTCGAAGATTCTCAAAAAGTGGGACAAGACATCAAAGTCCAAGACAAAGGAGCTCTATCTTTCAAGAGCCGTCGAAGTCCAGCCATTCTTCAATGCTACAGTCATAAGCGAGCTTTCTGACCAGGCCACCACAAGTCTACAAGAGCTTGGTGCTTGGTCGGATGGAATCCAAGTCAACTTTCAGTCGGGGCACGTTGTGACCTCGCAGCATTTCGTCGGCACTGATGAAGGGGACGCGGACACACTGCTACTTGATACTGTCATTACAGGAAATCTCGAGTCCTTGAGGGATCTTCTTCAACGGATGCGCTCCGCCAACGATACTGGAGATGGTGATAGTTCGTTGATGGAGAGGGTCACGCGGACCTTCTTAGCAGCCATCTCAGAAGCTCCACAAGAGTCTCTGCGAGTCCTACTCGACACAGGTCTTGTTGATCTCCACTCTTATGATGATATCAATGAGAGAAATTGCCTGCACCAAGCTGCCATCTATGGCAAGCAGTACGTCCTGGAGTGGGGCTTGTCAGTCGGTGTTGTTGTGGACCGAACGGATGTCTACGGCCGGGTTCCTTTACATTATGCTAGTCTTCACGGAAGATTGGAAATGCTGAAGGTCCTCTTGGATGGTAAGTTGTTGGATATCTGTGCATTGGTTTAATTGGCTGACATATGTGTAGCAAATCAAAAAACCATCGACCTCACGGACCACGATAACTTCACCCCATTGATCCACTCTATTATCCACGGACATCTCGACTGCATCGAACTTCTCCTTGCCAGATCCGCACGTATCGACCCTTTTTCTGATTCGGATCATGTCCCCTTGAACCTCGCTTGCGAACATGGCTCGGTGGCTGTGGTCGAGATGCTGTTGAAGCATGGGGCCAAGATCTTGCCTGATGCTGAAGGTCTGTACCCTCAGCATCTCGTAGCGAGAGCTGGTCAAACCTCAGAGCTCCTCCTCCTTCTCAAAAAATATGGTGCTAACCTCGACCAAATCGATAAACTTTATGGATGGACACCACTGGTCCATTCTGCAAGCGAAGGCAATGTCGACTGTCTTCAAGCACTACTCAAGGTTGGGGCCGACGCAAGCATCGTGGATGAGAAGGACCTTCCAGCCATGTACTATGCTGCCTGGGAGGGACACCTTGCATGTATGAAATTGCTAACCCCGTTCAACACACGCCCACGAGCCAGTCCCTTCATGGTGCAGCCTGCCTTGGGTCCTATGGATTCAAGTACGGCGCCTCTGCCCATGTCTCTTGACCCCGATGCGATCCCCGAACTCGAGCTTCCTCCTCCAATCATCCCACTGCGACGATACGGACACAACTTCCTTGACACAAAGACAGTTGTCCAGATCTCCTTCGGGGATTTCGAGGAACAACCCCTTGTCTTCTTCCAGGACGGAAAATATCCTGCCGCTCGCCTTACTATTTCCTCAAAAGTTTCGGATCTTATACCGAAGAATATCATTCTACCTTTCCAAGAAGATACTCGTATCGTATCCTTCCAGGTTGACAACCTGGATACTTTCAGTCTGGACATCGACGTGTTCCCCACATACGGAGCAAAGGTTATTGCCAAGACAGTCGCCCTATCAAGCATCTTCAAGGGACTTCAGGGCTCTTCAGCGTGTTGTTTGCCTTTATTCGACCCTCGCCTTCGCGCCATTGGCCAGATCAGCTTCACTGTGCAGGTCATCAAGCCATTCCAAGGGCAACCTCTGGAGATTACCGACTTTGAAACCTACTGGAAAGCAACAAGCCAATTCAACCAACCAACGAGTGCTATTGTTACTGGATCGAGCCTATCAGGCGATTACGTGAGGCTCTTTGTCCAGTATACCAGTGATGGTGTCCCTGTGCTCTGGCCTCAATGGACAATAGCCTGCGGTGGTCTTGATATTCCTGTCTGCCGATTGACTCTGGAACAATTCACTTCTATGACTATTAGGAGTAACAGTCGTGCAGAACTTCCTAACTTGAGAAGCAAGTCAGCCGAGAGCATGGCTGAGGTCTATCACATCCTTGCGACGGCTGGCGTGACGCTGCAGGAAGCACTTACTTTGCTCAACTCTGGAATGCATGTTAACCTCCAAGTATTGTACCCGACTCCCGAGGAAGAGAAGGCCTTCTCGCTTGGACCTGCTTTGGATGTTAACGTCTTTGTTGATTCAATCCTCAATATTGTGTTCGAGCATGCACGGACACAACGTGCACAGGCTCCTGATAGGGTACGGTCGATTGTATTCAGCAGCTTCAGCCCTCGACTATGTACAGCCTTGAATTGGAAGCAACCCAATTTCCCTGTTTTCTTGTGCAACGATTTAGGACGAGAGGAGACCTCGGGACCCAGTGGAAGGCGCAGCGCCTCTATCAAGGAGGTGGTGAGAATTGCCCAGAGCAATAACTTCATGGGATTGATATGTTATTCCCGACTACTGGTATGTTGAAATTGCCCTGATCTACTATTGATAAAAGTATGGTTGCTGACCGCCGATAGGATATGGTACCTGCTCTCGTGGATGCTATCAAGTCTCATGGGCTGGCTTTGGTGACAGACAAGTCATCGGACTCACCTGACGCGAGCCCTATGACTGATCCTTTCCCTCGACCGCCCAGGGGCGTCGACGGAGTTCTGAAAAGCCATGGCATTTTGCGTTTCAATGATTCGATAGACATGTAGGTGGCTGTAATGAGAAATGCCCGAATAACGACTGCAATGGCCGGGACGGATAGAAAAAGGGGGATTTGAAGACATGCATTGATTGGATAGAACTATTTTATCACTGTGTATTTGCACTTATTATACCTACTTAAGCAAATGCTTAATGATTATGATTAAGCACCTTTGTAGTCGTACTTGAGCGATGATAACTCCTTCTCGGGGTCAACACTACCCATGACCATCTTTGACACCAAAATAATACCATAGACCACCAAGGGCAAGTATCCCATTCCGGGCCACACAGCTTCACTTTTTGTTCTGCCTATTGCCCAAGCCATCAAAATCAAAACTAGACCGAGACCCAAATTTAGATAGGGCAGATAAGTTTCGAGTGGCGATCTTCTTTCGACGTAGCTGAACGAACTTCTGCGTTGTCGTGGTCTTCCACGAGGCACGTACGGCACATCATCTACCTCATCCTCGTCATCCTCGTCAAACACGCCTGAAGACTCTCTTGTTGAGAGTGACGGTGGGCGAGTGGGTCGTGGAGTTTTGGGCCGTGCCCAACTATCAAGGAATGGGATGCCTGACGACGCTGGTGGTTGGTGATGAAGCAGATATGCCGTAGAGAAGAGAGAGGTTAGGCTTAGGAGCGCGAGAAGTGCTGTAGGGGGGTTTATGAGGGCGGGAAGATAGGGGATAGTTGCTAGAAGGGGTATGGCGAGGAGGAAGCGGCGAAACTGAACATCTCGAGCGGCATTTTCCGCTGCAAGCTGATTGATGTAGTCCTCTTGCTCTAAAGTAGTGTTAGATGTGTATTTTAGGTATTTTGCCAAGATTGCTATGGTATACCTTGTTCATCCAAAGCTTCAGGCTGTGAGTCTGTAGAGTCTTCCTCTGGATAGTGAAATGTGCGCCTCAAACGGGCAGTTGTTCCCTGGTAAGCAGGCATGATAGATCCGATAAGACTCAGTCTTAAGAGAAAGTGAAGAGTATTAGGGATAAGAAACAGTTGAGGCCAGGTTGTGATGTAAGACCCTGCCTGTCGTCACATGGTAAAACTGTCCACGAGGTTGAGGTGAGGCTCAGCCTTATGACGCCACACCGGCCCTTGCCCCACCTCGAGTGAGCAACATTGGATCGGCGCCCGGCAGCAAAATTTCGCCGATATCAGTTGAATTGAGCCTCAGCTGATCAACCACGATACGACCGATCACCAGAAATTAAGCGCAAAATCACAATGTCGCAACAACTAGCGCTACCTCGGATCGTCCGACGACGCTTGGCCGCCGTTCTCAAGTCAAGAACAGTTACATTGAGACCTGCGCAGAGGAGATGGATGACTCCTGCGCCAAAACCTGGAGATGGGCCCATGATGTCGAGGAGGGCGGATCGAGAGCTTCCAGGTACGGACAATTGAGACTTAATAAGCCATTGGCTTGGACTGACATCGGTTATTGTGCAGATGTAGCTGATGTGACATTCCGCTGGCGCCGTACTTTCCCCATCTTCCTCCTCATCGTGGCCGCTTCATCAGTCGCTATCTTCAACTACCAAAAGATGTCCTCACCCGTCGTCTCCTCAACACTTTACGCTCTACGCACCAACCAAGATGCTCGCGCTCTCCTCGGCGATGAGATCTACTTCAAGCACCAAATCCCCTGGATCCACGGCGAGATGAACCAGCTTCACGGCCGTATCGATATCTGGTTCTCAGTACGAGGCACAAAGGGCGAGGGTGTCATGCGCTTTGCCAGTAACAGACCTACCAGCAAGGGTTTCTTCTCAACTACAGAGTGGAGTCTTACCATGAGCGATGGCACAAGGTTGGATCTTTTGGATAACGGAGATCCTTTCAAGGCGCTTATTGGAGGTGGTGAGGATCTGCCTGCAGTTGAGGAAGATGCCCCTACAAGAGGATTCCGAAAGCAGGTCGAATACAAGTGAGGCATGATGGGCCACTCTAAGGGAACATGGGAGGCGAGCATTGTTGTTAAAATGAATTTGATAACCCTGAGTACTCCGGTTGTAGTCGAATCTGTACAGTAGATGGTGTGTGTGTGTATAATACAAAAAGCCCGCTTATGATCTCTCCCATTTTATCATACGTAGTACAAAGTCCCTCTTACAATCCATGGTAAAAATCATTAGTCTTGAAGCTGCGCCGCTTCTCTCTCATTCTTCAGCTGAAGATGTCTTTCTCGTGCTTCTTGGAGCTTAGCCTCATGGTCGGGATTGCGTTCCAATAGAGTAGTCAGAGCAGCCTCACGATGAGGTTGAGGAGGAGCCTTTCGCTTCTTGGCATCTTGAAGACGAACAACACGACCCTTGGGACCGGCAATAGGTCCACCGACCAGCACAATACCCAAGTCGTTATCCACCATCATGACCTTGAGGTTCTGGACTGTGACGAATTCGTTGCCCATACGACCAGGCATCTTCTTACCGGGCATAACACGACTACCACTGCCCTGCGAGGGACCCGTTGTACCGATTGTTCGATGGTTCTTGGAGTTACCGTGCGAAGCTTCCTGACCGGAGAAGCCGTGGCGCTTCATACCACCTGCGAAACCCATACCCCGCGATCGACCCTTGACATCGACGTACTGGCCCTTCTTGAACCAATCGGGGAGAATCTGAACACCAACGGGCAGAAGACCAGACTCGTTTCGGACCTTGAACTCAGCGAGCTCAGCCTTGGGTGCAATGCCCTTGGCCTCATAGTAACCCAGCAATGGGCTTGTGACATTTCGACCATCACGCGAGCCCGCACCAATCTGCACAGCCCAGTAACCGTTCTTCTGTCGGGTCTTGTTGGCGACGACCTGGACCTGATCGAGTTGCAGCACGGTGCAAGGCACACGGGTCTTTCCAACAAACACACTAGTCATGCCCTTCTTGGTAGCAAGGACACCAGAGCGCAGAGGCGTAGTATTCTCCCGACGCTTCAACGCAGCAGCAGGACCACTCGTGAGAGCAGGAAGACCGGAAGAAGGCTGATTGAATCGCTTGTGCTTGTTGCGAGGAGGAGCCGTGGTCCATCCATTCTTAACACCGCGGGTAGCTGTGAGCGGGAGGAGGAGAGGCCGAGCGGCGACGGCGCAGGGCCGTGGGAGGGCCAAGCGAATTGGCAGACGAGGAGGCATTTTTGAAGGCGGCGTGTCGACGGCGGCGGTGGCGCTGTCGAGGAAAGCAATTGGGCCGCCGTGGGTGGGATATTGAGGGCGATGGGTCGGATCGGTTGATAGTGGTGAAAGATTTTGGGTGAGGTTGAGATACTGGAGAGCTTTTGCAGCACCCGGAGAATTCCCGGCTAGCATTGACTACAGTGAAATGGAACAACACTCACCGCGAGAGAAATATGATATAATCATTATGATTTAACGAAGCAGTTTAAATCAATTTTTTAATTGAACGCATATGAGATTTTATAATCCAGTCTCTCTATTTATTCTTTTTTTTTTTGTCGTTGGTGAATCGTGTTGATCTTCACCCTCTCTAAACTCCAGGGCCCCTCCCTCCAATACCGCTCCCCATCTGATTCACACTCGTACCCTTGAGTTTATGATCTCCCGGGTTAGCAGCAGCCTCATAGATGATATTCGCAGGCGCTCGTCCAAGTTGAGTCCATTCGCCCTTGAAGCCCAGGTACGAAATACGGGTCACATCCTCATCGCCATCGCCAAAGTTGTCCGCAAAGAAGAGCACCAGCCGCTGCACCTTTCCAAAGAGTGCTCTCTTTACGGGAATCTCTTGCAGATCACTAGTCTGGGAGAGTTCGAGAGTTTGAATGGGGTCTGACTCCTCGGCGGCTGCAAAATCGAGATCGTCCCGGTTGATGAAGAGATGGAGGGTTTTGGGGGCTGAGGCTGAGGGGGATGTGCGGATGAGGATGGAGTGAAGCTTGATCTGGGCCGTGAATCTGATTTGATTTAATTTAGTAACAGATTTGTGTATAAGATGGATTTGTACTTACGGCACTGTCATGAGAAGCTGCTCATCAACGTCACTCTCTAGCTCAGGCTCAACGCTGAGTCTCTCTTGCCACGTCTTCTTGACGATTTTCTGACCAGCATCTCGCTGGGCTTCATTCAGAGTGACAATGTGATCAAAGTTGATTTGACTGTAGAGGGAGAACTGCACTGTTGGTGTGATGTCGTCTGAGTGATCATGCTCATGGTCGTGGTCGTGGCCATGACCAGAATGTTCATCATGGCAGTGAGACATGATGTTCGATTGATCTGAACAGTTCTGAAATAAGGTCCTTCACGGGCGGTTGATTTTATGAATTTGGCTCAAGTTCGTGGTGATGGTTGAGTTGATGTTGGTTGTAAGTCAAGTGAACCATTAACAATTGAGGATGACGTTTTAGCACTGGGTCCCCTACATAAGCGCCCGAGACTGGATATCATGAACATTAATAACAGGCCCAAGGTCGCACAAGCAAACAACAGTCGAGTGCAACCAATCTTCATGATTTCCTGACAAGTAATTAAATAATAGCAATTATATATCTCATTTGTATCATCAATAATCCTGAACCGTAGCCAAAAACTCCTGTAGTTTGTTTCGCTTGCTTCATCTAAATCCACTCTTCCTCTTATTCTTCTTAGCCTTCTTCCTATCTCCAAAGATACCCGATACGGGCTGGCTCATGGCAAACGATGGCCCAAAGAGTCCTTGACTCTGTGAAGACGAAGGTATGCCTTGCTGGCTCGACATGGTTTGAGGCGTGGGAGCAACAGATATCGGTGGCAGCGCCATAGGCTCTTCTCTCCGAGGACGCATCGGCGAAGACATGGGGTTGCCCGCCGTAGTTCGCACGGAAGTCTTCATGGCCTTCGGTTCTCTACCCTCTCTCATGAACGGTGGAAGTTTGTACCTGTCGTTCTGAGCCTTGCGTTTGTTTTCGATTCTTTGCAGTCGCAATCTTGCCTCGTCAAACTTTCTATCGCTAGCAATAGCAACGCTAGACATGTAGTCGTCTGTACTAACACCACGCTCAGTGGGCCAGTATGACAACACGTTGGACTGTTTGGCGTTTGCCATCTTGTCCAATCTCAATGATGGTGCGAGGAGCTGTAGTCGCCTGACCGCTGCATCATTGGTGCTGTTTGGTGTCGCACTGGGAGGTGATGAAGGAATCCCACCTTCCGATGACTGAGATGATTTGATTCGAATTACACTCGACTGAGTGGGTTGAATTCGCCCATCCTCCTCCTTGCTTGCAGGTCCTAGAAGAGGCATATCTTGAACCATGACTCCAGCTGTTGCCAGAAACATATCCTTAGCCAAGTCTGCGATCCACCCCCTTCTTATTTCCTCCTCTTGCTGGGGTATTCTTCCTTCCAGCGGATCGAGCCAGAGATCAACGTATGTTTGGTTAAGATGTGACAAACTGACAAGTTCCCGAATCCACTCCTGCGAAGTCTGTCTCCCGAGTTGCGTCACGACTGTTTGTCCATCATCGCCTGCAAACAAGTCGAGCATATCGGGTTGTGTTTCGTGAAAACCATTTCGTAGATGTATCGGACCAAGCTCGTCGCCGATTTCTTTCCAAGTTTTCATGGGAAGTCTTCCTTCAGCCACACCCTCAGTGATATTTTCCTGAATAGCTGCGAGTAAAGCGGGCGGTATATCATGAAGACTGTCTGAAATAGCGTGAAGAGTCTGTTGAAGGGTGCGGCACAAGCCATCTAGGTTCAAGCTTATGGGCCCGAAAACTGCAGATGCTCTGCTATTGATCTTATCGAGGTCCTTAGATCGATTGGTAAGTTTTACCACATCTTTGATGTTGTCATCAGCCATGCCCTCAGGAAGCACAAACGTGCTGCCCATATGTCGAATGAACTGTTTGCGTTTCTTTTTCCAGCGCTGCGCTTGATCTGACTTGTTACGATCAACCCGCCCACTAGGCAGCGTAATCGGCATATTGCGGTCTTTGACTGAGACACAGATGCAGTATTGCACACCCAAACTCTTACTTAGAATGCTGCCTTGGTAGAACTGAACTCCCGCACAGTAGTAATCGGCTCCAAGACCAGATGAAGCGTCCCCGTCCCGTGTGAGCTTGACCGGGTGGATTTCGAGTGATTGAATATCGCTACTGGTCGAATCGCTATTTTGAGGAAGAGTGAGGGTGTCGCGGTGCCAATAAGGAAGGCCGGTTTCCATTGACCGCCCGAACCAGTAGGTTTGAAGTTGTCTATGAATCGGAGAAAAGACAAACACCATAGCAGCCTCTTGTCCACCTTCTGACGTAAGGCATGTTGTCATGCGCAATCCTTCTCTGTCCAACAAACGAGGGCAAGATATTAGAATAGTCGGCTTTGGCCCTTCCTCCTCCTGCCTGCTTTTCGCAAATAAGTCGATCCAGTAAATAGCGCGCATGGTTAAGACAAATATGTGATTTTGGTTGGCTGGGCTGACTCTTATGTCAAGAATTGCATCAGGCTTGGACTTTGGACGAGCCAACAACGAGAGTTGAGGCAGAGCTATGTGCGATACGAGATCGATAACTTCGTACTTCTCCCTATTCCAGATCAGCAGATGACTTGATCGTTGTGCTAATCCTCCAGAGTCATCAGCACTTTGTGAACCATCCTCCCAGAAACTGTCCACTTTGGCTGTGCCGACGAATAGAACTCCATGTTTTTCGGCAGGATGCTCTGTCGTGGAGGGTAATTCGTTCAGTAGTCCATCTGAAACATGTCCACACGAATAAGGTATAAGTCGTGTTTTCAGCTTGTTTCCCCCCATGATGTCCCATATTGACCAATATCCGCACTCGTCGATGATGGCAATCTGTGGTGGTAGGCCCTTAGAATTTGGATTGAAAGAGACATCTACCTGCGCGTTACCGCCAGTCATCTTATGAGAGACGGTCAGGATCGGGTTAGGATCGATCCGCGACAGTCGTGATTGATGAATGTTGAGATCGGAGGCTGACGATTGAGCTACCGGGACCTTGTGATATTCTGGATGGAGAATCGTGGTTGAAGTTTGCTTCTGAACGATGAGCCAGCGAACGGCATCATATCGTGCGAGACTAGTTGCGAATTTGACTTGAGAGATCGGCAGACCATCGCTGGCCCAAATGGCCTCTTCCTCGGGATCATCAGGGTCAATGACAGAGGGCTGAAGAGTCGTACGCTTATCTTGTCCCCATTTCCATTTCGATTGATCGATCCGAGCCAGTCGAAGCAGCTCCCCTGACTCTCCCGTAGCAGCCGCAAGCATGGGTGATCCAGCGATTCTCGAGTGATCCGACACATTCGTCATTTGGCCGATAGCAAGTAATGATTGATCGCTAATTTCGCCCTCGACCTTTGAGTAGCGATTCATGTTCTCCTGCAATAGATTCGATAGTGCTGAGTTGCCCATGAAGGCTTCGGGGTGAGCCTGAAGAAGCCATCGCTTTTGTACTCTTCTCTCCTGCCATAGGTTGGACGAGATCTCCGGAGCAGGAGTTTTTGAAGGCGGGTATAACTCTGCCGAAGACCCAATAACTTTGAAGTGAGGCGCTAGACATCTTTGTCAATATTGCGATGAGCGCAAAGAGATTGTATAAACTCACCTTCAGCTGTTACGCGACTGGAGTGAAAAGTCCCAGGCTGCGCTGTCGCATTCTCAGGTGGTATATAAGTAAGACTTCCTACGTGACCGTGGATCAGGTCCGTAAGTCGCCTGGTCTCAGCCATTTGGCCCAAGTCTTGATTTCCAATGTGCTGAAATTTTGGCCGATATTCCTTTCTTCATCGCGAGATGGGCTAGTACAGGCGCAAGAGAGTCTCGAGCGGGAGTCAATAGTATTTGAAGCACTAAAAAGGCATCCTATGTCATACGAGGTTGTGCGATGGAGAAATTGGCTGCGCAGGCAGGAATACATCTATAGAAGAGAAGTATTGGTGAGTATAAGTAGACGTAGAGTAAGAGATGCGCTGCGCATGCGATGAGAAGTGAAGCTTTCGACGGCCCCACGTGGCGGTGCAAGCGAGGTGCGCCACATTTATTAGTCGACCGAGCAACGCAATTTCGCGGTGTAAATACATACATGCATGAGAACAATGCCCAATTTGTATCCCCTTGGTCAACTCCGTTTACCCTACGGAACAATAATTTGAAGCCGAAAACAACATCAACCGAACTATCTCACGATTCTGAATCATACGCAATGGCTACCGACTTTCAGTCCTCCCTATCTGCGAGTATGCGACAGAGCATGCCGCCCGTCGGCCCCTCTGTCGCAAACCAGCTGCCCAACATCAACTTTGGCTTCGATGACCTGCGCGATCGCATGGCAAAGTTCACAGCCCGATTCGATGCATTCATTGAAGAGGGCCGAAAGCGCGTCCTCGAAGAGCGCAACCAGTTTCGCATGAACGTCGCCGAACTTCAAGGTATACTCTGATGTCGCCGGCGCATAAGATATCTACTAACCACCCCATCAGAGGACCAACGTATGAAGAAGCGAGACATCGAAATCATTCAAGTCAAGACCTCGACGCACCAACAAACAATTGAGAAGGAAGAGGCGGAAACGCGCGAGATGGAGAGCGCTATTAACTCACTCGCTGCCCAGCGCGACAACCACCTCGCAACGCGCGACAGCCTCAAGGCTGAAATCGCACAAACACAAGCCGAGATCGAAGCACGACTTGCCGCACAGCGCGAATACGCTCAGCAGCAACAAGCCCAGTCTCGTTTCAACGTCCCTGAGTTGGACTTCTGGATCACCAACCTTTGCCTCAAGATCGAGGGCGCTGGCCACGACGACCGACTCAAGTTTGTGTATACGCATATTGACGAGAAGGACTGGGAGCGCGAAGCTTGGTTCGAACTTGTTACAAGCTCGCGCGATTACGATGTGAAGCACTGCAGACCTAAGGTTGAGCGGGAGAAGGTTGAGAAGGTGCTGGATAAGCTGAATGAGTCAAGGGAACTGGTTGTTCTGCTGAAGGGCATGAGAGAGTTGTTTGTGGAGGCCATGAAGACTTGAAGAGTTGATTGATGGTTTATGCTGCGACGACCGTTTATGTGCGATAGTGATTTTTGAGAACGATAATTATACCTTGGATGATTGTTTTTGTTTGATATAACGTTCTGAGCCTATCTCTGAGTGTACATTTGGACTGTGCTCTCAAGTAGCCTCGTAGATACCAATGAGAATAGCCAACAAGATCGTGCTGAAAATCGAAAGCTAAACTAGATTGGTATTTTGATTTCTCATTCTAAAATATATAATACTGATAAAAATACCGCTACTTTTAGCACTTTTTGCTACTTATTGGATTGGATGTCATGATGTGTATCAGCCCAAACCAAACCGCGACCCGCGTCTCCCCGCCATGATCAATTAACCTCCGCCTCCACCTCCCTCTCTTCATACACCATATCAAAACCCCATCAACCGCCATCATGCCTGAACCAGATAAGCACGCAGCTGCGCAACAAGCCGTAGATATTCTCCATGAGATCTCTACTATTCTAGTACGATAGCCCATCCATAAAACAACACGGGTGACGACCTGACCGCTGACTGCGATCACAGAACTGTCACCTTGATCGCCGAACTCTATCCATCTGCATCTCTATGATTGAGCGCGGAGTGAACCCAGAGGCTTTAGCGGTATGTGGTCGAAATTCACGTGCTCGCTTGTTGAAAGAATTTCTAATATGTGTTTTCCGTGCAGCAAGTTATCAAGGAACTCAGACAAGAGGCCCAGCAACCTACAGCCGCAGCAAGAAGACGTTGAATGAGTGGAACAAATCCTCTTCAGAAATTTGATACGGATTGACTTTGGAATTACGGAAATGTTGTTTCGGTAGGTGTTCACAGGGATATGCTTTCACTCAATAGGCGCAAGTAAGACTGTGCCAGAATAGAGATTTTGTTGTACTCATGCCCTAGGTACATACTCAAACAATCATGCTACCTACTTTGTGTCCGTTGGATCTTATTCAAAAACCAAGATCAACGCAGATACTAAGCGCCCAAGATGCAAACCACCAACCTAGTCACATCCCTTCGTACACATATAGTCAGTCAGTAGCCTCCAACTGGTATCCCCCTCCCAAGTTAATGCAGTCCCCCAAGCGCCTTGCAGTAAAACAACCTAGCCAACCCTTTTGAATTTTATATCATGCTGTTTTGTGATTGCTCATCGATGTCCAATAAGAACAATTTCGTCTTCGTCTTCTTCGTCATCGTCGTCGTCTTCCTCTTCAGCGTCTGAAAGTGTATCGCTGAGATCATCCAGTTCAGAATCTTCGTCATTCTCCGATGCGTTGTTGCCACGGTTCCTGATTCTCCATATTCCAAGGATATCGTCCTCGGATTCTTCGTCTGGTGGCAGATGTGCCATGATCGAGTCGAAACCCATATTGCCAGGTGATACAGATCGTGCAACTCTATCAGGTGCGCGGTATTGAGCCTCAACACCGTGAGACGAATGTCTGCGCCTGTTTCCCACTGTGATAGGAGCTCGGTTTCCACTCACAGATCCAGAAGCGTCCCGTCCAGTTTCCACGATGGGTTGTATTTCGCCATTAGCAGGCGGTTGTGATCCTGTGCGGTCACCTCCCACGATATTCAGTTCTACCGTATTATATGACCGGCATATGGAGCATTTCAGACCCAACCAGTGATATCGAACAGTGCTCTTTCCGGAGCAATCGTTGCACAGAATAACGGCAGTGGTGTCGCGGAACTCTGGTGGCATGGGCTGAGTCTGGATAGCAACATCCAAATTTCGGAACTGGCTCTCCATATTCGTAAGACTCTTATTGCAGATCGGGCATTTGTATGACACTTTCATATGCTGTTCGTAGCACTTCTTATGGATACTATGACCGCAAGCCATAAAGACCACGGGCCGTGGTGAAGTAAAGAGGTACTCGCCACAGATGGGACAGTCGCAATCTGTTGACCTTTCGATACACTTGTGAGAGCCTTCAATCGAGGTCGAAATACATGCCCGACAGGTCTACAGCTAGTCAGCAAGCGACATCATAGAGGCATAACTATGTTCTCACCTTGCAGTGAAAGAAGTCCCTGCCGAGGCCCATGCCTCGACGACAAATACCACAGTCGTTACAGTGGTAAATGGGTTTACTTTGACGGTTCTCCCATAAGTGACAAATATCGCAATAATAGTAGGCCGACAACTCGCCGCAGTTGATGCACATGTCCGAGGCCTTCTGTGGTGTTGCGCAAATCATGCAGAGCATGTTCCTGGTTTCTGTACGGATGAGGTTGTGGTCCTCATTCGCATCGTGACAGAAACGGCATGTGTACCATTTCTTACATGTGAAACATTGAAGCTTAACGTTTCGTTCGTAGTGTTGGCATCCAAGAGGTTGTTCCGTTTCTGGTACTACATCTAAGGGTTCCACTGGAGTTTCACTTCCATGTCGTTTCGGCGGCTTCACAGGCACAAATGTCGGTGCTTTGTCTTCCTCGCTCAAGATAAATATTTCCTCATCCGGGTGGTTCTGCCAGAACTTCAACGGCCTTGATGCTGGCGACGACGGTGATTGCGACAAAGGTACATCCAAGCCTTCACCACTCTCCAGAATCTTCTTTACAAGCGGCACTGTCTTGGACGACTTATATCCTTCCAACAAAATATCGTGGATTAACCGCGCTTTATCATTTTGGGGTATGTCTTGGGCATTGATCGAATGGATCCGGGATCGTAACTCGCGCATACCATCATCTTCCGGAATCCGACGAGAACTGAGCGGGCTCAGGGCGATCCCGATATGATCGCGGGGAGGAGATTCCTGCGACATGATTGGAACTGGTTCGGGTTCTTCAACTCTTGTTTCTTGGGTCGAGACGCTGAGGGGTCTAGTGAGGGGAGACTCGATGATCGGCACCGGTGCCGGCTCAGGTACTGGCAAAGGTACAGGCGCAGAAACAGGACTATCGGGATGACCAGAATCGCTCACTGCGTCAGCGTGTTCGGTCGAGTCGCCTCCATCGCCAGTGAAGGTAGATCGCGAGATTTCGGAAAATCGACGAGCCTGACGCAAGACGGGGTTGATGAGAAACTCTGAGACGAGGGAAGACATCAAGTTGGTAGGTAGGTAGGTTGGAGTGGAGGCTAAAAGTAAGTTGGGAAAAGGGAAAGGTCTAAGCGGCGGTCCCAGATACCGACGGGCGCACTAAGATAGAGGAGCTGGTTGTTGAAAGCTGTACTGTACTGTACTTGCGCCGATATTGATACCGTAGAGGAGAGAGAGGGAGGGTAGAGAATGACGCTGAAAGAGGGGATCTGACAAGGTAGAAGAGAAACTGTAATATCGTACTGGTACTGTAGTAGTGAGGAGAAACGTTAACGGCACAGGACCATGCACCTCAAAACAACGGAATGACGAGAGACTGGAGAAGCCAGAGACTACAGCGTCTCTAGCTCTGTTCTTCTGACTTTAGACTGGAGTTGGATGACATAAGGCGATTTTGTTCTCCAGTGACATTCAGTGGAGTTTTCCGAATAGCGGACGGTAAGCGGCGAATGCACAGTAAGTGCAGCGCTGGAGTGATGGGAAGGGGGAGAAAGGCGCCGTTTTTTAGCATGTGACTGTGGATTGTGGTTCACAGAAGGCCTCCGAGTCTATTGCGTTTATTCAGTTGTCATTGGATATCATAGATTGACTGTTAGCAACAAATTCCAATGCCATCGTTTCGCCAATTTAAAATCGATGTTTCGCTTGCAGCCGTTGAAACCCCAACTAACATTTTTGTCAGTCGCATACAAGGTACGCTCCGGTTACGGGAACGGATCAAACCGCATGTTGTCGTAACCTGGATCAGACGAGGATTCGGATATATAGGGAATGTAGTGGGGAAATTGAACGATAGAGACATAGGAAAAGGATCAATGGTGCCAAAGACGGTAAAATACGGTGGAACAAATTGAATTCGGCGGTCAATCTCTGGTTTTAGGCCATCTGTATAAGTGAGGCACAGATGAGATCGGGGACTGTTCCGCTGAAGCCGTCAGGCCAGGGAGACCCTTTCTGGATCCTTTGAAATGCATCCCTTGATATTTTACAGGACTGAAATGGTTCATAGCCCTGAAACTCAAATGCTGAAATAATGTTTAAAGAGGCCAATCCCTCTGAGCTTATCCATGTGTCATGATTCAGTACAAGAGACAGATAGAAAAAGGCTGTTTCTGCCCAGTAAATCGGGTTCAGTCATGACGAACCGTGGGTCCTTGAACGCCTTCGGCTCTGCATGTCTCTGTCTCTTCGCTTGTGTAAGATCCAATGCAAAGATAGACGTCATTAGGGGACAGCTATCCGCTAAACAATGTCTCATTGTCTCAAGAAACTGCATTCAGAGTCAATAACTTCAAGAAGCATGTGATCATCAATAAAATGCATACCTTAGTGATAAGATTGATAAAGCAAAAGCTGGAAATGCCAGTACAATATGTCATACTAGTTCTTACTATTGACGTCGAGACAAGAGTGCCTTTTAGATCTTGTTTCTTCGTGACTGTACCTAACTGTGACCGTTTGACTTCACCGATTCGAATGTCAATTCGAAACAAACACACTTCTGTCACAGAAGCCTCGGAAACAGATTCAGATCGAGAAACAGCAAAAAGGAAACTGATCACGCTGGGGATCGAACCCAGAATCTTCTGATTCGTAGTCAGACGCCTTGCCATTGGGCCACGCGACCTCAAGTATTTCTTGTCATTTTTGCTCACTGGCAGGTACATGTCGCTGAATCACCATCTCTGACGAGAAAGGTGCCACTTTTTTGAATTTCATCCCTGGATCCCTGCAGCTGATTGCCCCTAAAACATTCAGTGCAACGCGCTATCGAAAACGGACATGGGAGCTGGAGGGCTGGACTAGGCTGAAGTGGGGGTAGTATCGACTGGTCGGGAGCTTACGCCAAGGGGAGCCGTACGGGAGCAGCTGTTTAGCGTGACGACTCGCCCGTAGAGCATATGTGGCATTTCAGGGGACAGAAGAGATTCAGCCTGCGCTGGGCTGTCGTGTAATATTCTTAGAACCACCACACGCCAGTTCAGTTTCGTTTCTTTGGACTCGGGCATCTCCAGTTCTTTTTTTATCTCTTTTCTCTCTCCTGATTCTTCTTCTTTTTTTTCTGACCTGTATTCTCTTCTATGATCACAGGATTTTAGAAACGGCTCCTTCGTTGAAGCTGGTGTTCCTCCCTTCCAGGTTCCCTTGAGTCTCGACAACTCGTCCAATCTTTTTTTCCCTTCTCCCTCCTGTCGAGCTTACTTAGCCAACATCACCCCCTTTGGCTCCCATCAAACACCCATTCTACAAACGTCGCGACTTCTACTTCGAATCGATACCTATACGATTGAATAATCATGGCTGCCGACAAGGCTGCCGTCGCCTCAGGCGCTGACCTGGGTGATGGTCTCAGACAGCGTCCTGCTGCTGGACAGGCTAACCTCCAGCCCCCAAGTCCTCAGCCTGAGGACAACAAGAAGCTTGTCAAGAAGGTACTACACCTGTATATCAAGGAAGTGCCATTGAACGATACTGACCACATCTAAAGGAGTCCTCATTCCTCCAAACACTCGACCAGTGGGAGGTTGTCATTGCCCCGCTGATCTTTACTCTCCTGGCTATCTTCACTCGACTTTACAAGATCGGTATCAGCAATATCGTTACCTGGGATGAAGCTCAGTATGTCGAATTGACTTTACCGTCCCGCAAACCTTTTCTAACACTTCGACAGCTTCGGCAAGTTCGGTTCCTACTATATCAAGCATGAATACTACTTCGATGTCCACCCTCCCCTCGGCAAGATGCTCGTCGGTCTTTCTGGAGTCCTAGCTGGCTACAACGGAACATTCGAGTTCAAGTCTGGCGAAAAGTACCCCGAGGAAGTCAACTACACCATCATGCGTATCTTCAATGCGGCCTTCGGTATCTTCTGCATTCCCCTTGCTTACTACACTGCTCGTGAGCTCAAGCTTCGACGCCCTGCTGTGTGGCTCGTTACTCTGATGGTTCTTTGCGAGAACTCCTACACCACTATCAGCCGTTTCATCCTGCTCGACTCTATGCTGCTGTGCGGTACCGTGGCCACCGTCTTCTGCTGGTCCAAGTTCCACAACCAGCGCCACAACAGCTTCGAGCCTGAGTGGTTCTTCTGGCTGTTCTTGACTGGACTCAGCATTGGCTGTGTCTGCAGTGTTAAGCTTGTTGGTCTTTTCGTTACTGCTCTCGTCGGTCTTTACACCATTGAGGACCTCTGGCGAAAGTTCGGCGACACCAAGATGCCTGTTGTAAGTAGTATCATGACTGACATCTGTTCTTAACTAATGATTCATAGACCACTCTTGGTGCCCACGTCGTCACCCGTGTCGTTGGCCTCATCGTCATCCCTTTCCTGATCTACCTCCTCTCTTTCGCCCTGCACTTTGCCATTCTCGACCGCTCCGGCCCTGGTGATGCTCAGATGAGCTCCCTCTTCCAGGCTAACCTCAAGGGTACTCAGGTTGGAAAGGACAGCCCTCTGGAGATTGCAATTGGTTCCCGTGCTACTATCAAGAACATGGGCTACGGTGGTGGTCTTCTTCATTCCCACGTTCAGACCTACCCCGAGGGTTCCAAGCAGCAGCAAGTTACCTGCTACCACCACAAGGACACCAACAACGACTGGTTCTTCTACCCCAACCGCCGAGAGGAGGACTACAACCCTGAGGGTGACCTCCGATTCATTGGTGACAACTCCGTCATTCGACTTATCCACGCCCAAACTGGCCGCAATCTGCACTCTCACGACATCGCTGCCCCTGTGACCCGAGGCCACAAGGAAGTTTCCAGCTACGGTAACCTGACTGTTGGTGACGACAAGGACCACTGGAAGGTTGAGGTTGTCCGTGATTCTGCTTCTCGGGATCGCAGCAAGATCAGAACCCTTACCACTGCTTTCCGTCTCAAGCATGAGGTCCTTGGCTGCTATCTCCGAGCTGGCAACGTCAACCTCCCCCAGTGGGGTTTCAAGCAGATCGAGGTTACTTGCACCAAGGAGAACAACCCCCGTGACACTTACACCCACTGGAACGTTGAGGCTCACTGGAACGACAAGCGTAAGTTTTCAAGAAAAAGATGTAGACTTGCTCATGCTAATTTCATATAGTCCCTCCCGCCGAGGCTGGTGTTTACAAGTCCCCCTTCTTCCATGACTTCGTCCATTTGAACGTCGCTATGATGACCTCCAACAACGCTCTGGTCCCCGATCCTGACAAGCAAGATGACCTTGCTTCCAAGTGGTGGCAGTGGCCATTCCTTCACGTCGGTCTCCGTATGTGCGGTTGGGGTGATGATATCGTCAAGTACTTCCTCCTCGGTAACCCTCTCATCTACTGGGGTTCTACCGCTTCTCTTGGAATCGCCGGCCTGGTCATTGTCTGGTACATCCTTCGATGGCAACGAGGTGTCAACGATCTCAGCGAGAACGAGATTGACCACATTCACTACTCGGCATTGTACCCCCTGGCCGGCTGGTTTCTTCACTACCTTCCTTTTGTTATTATGGCTCGTGTTACTTACGTGCATCACTACTACCCGGCTCTCTACTTCGCCATTCTCAACTTTGGCTTCCTTGTTGACTGGTTCACTCGCAACCGCAACAAGACCATCCAGACCATTGTGTATGGCATTCTCTACACCGTCATTATCGGCCTTTACATTTACTTCATCCCTATTTGCTGGGGTATGACTGGCAACCACAAGCAGTACAAGTACATGAAGTGGTTCGATAACTGGCGAGTCACCGACTAAGGGATTGATCAATGTTTTGAGCAATCTCTTTTCTCTAGATTACACAGTGGTCTAGACGAGCTGTCTCATGTACCGCCATGCAGACGTGTTTGTGTTACTCGATTTTCGAAAACGTACTGCAAGGATATAGAATTGGGGAACTCATGTAAAAGACGGGTCGCAGGGATTCTGTTGGGAGGCAAAGCAAGGGACGAGGGAAGAAAAGACGAAACAGGATCAACGGAATGAGGCAGTTACGGAATGGATCTTGCTTCGGTAATGCTATGATATTGTCATTTCTGTTGCGTCCTTAATAAAGGTGGCCTCGTAAGGCCAGCAATGTATTATGCATTATTGTGTACAATTCATATTGAGCTTTTCATACACTTGTTCGATGATGACGACGTTTGCTGGCTGACTGGGTATCATGATGCGTCGTGTGTTTGTAGATCATTTGTGTCCTCCTCTTCGCATTGTCTCAGGTTATCCCCTAACAACAGCCACCTCCCGCTGACTTGTTGGCATCTCCAGATAGCTTGACTTGGCGGTTTCCACCAGCTCCTGCACCCTTGACTCCAGATCTTCTGTCATTGAGATCGTACTTGCCCGCCTGGATGTTATTGTATATCCTCTCTGCTACCCGCATGAAAGCCTTTTCGACATTCTCGCCGCTCTTTGCGCTTGTCTCGACGTATTCCATAACCCCGTTACGCTTGGCCCACTCCTCTGCCTCCCCGCGTGTGACCTCACGCTTGTTATCCTCCTGTTGTGTCAGATCTGCTTTGTTACCAACCAGGATAACCACAATATCAGGCTCGGCGATCTGTCGTAGGTCGTTGAGCCAGTCTGTAACATGCTGGAAGGTTTGCTTTCGAGACAGGTCGAAGACAAGCAAGGCACCGCTTGCGCCTCGGAAGTAAGATCGAGTGACAGACTTGTATGTCTCCTGGCCAGCTGTGTCCCAAAGACTAAGCTTCATATGCTTCTGGGGCGTGTTGGAGTCATCCCGAGGAGGTTCAGGAAGACCATCGGCTTCTTGGTCTTTGTTATCGGGATCTGAGGAGTTGACGGCGCCGACTTTTGAGTGAGGAGGACCGACGGGGACGATACGGGAGCCGAATTCAACGCCAATGGTGACGTCGTGATGAGGCGAAAAGCGACCTTCGCAGAGCCGAATGGTAAGACTGGACTTGCCGCATCCTGAGTCGCCGATGCAGACGAGTTTGGCGATGTAGTCCCACGGTGTGGTCGACATGGGAAGAGGCTGAGAAGGCTGATGAGAATTGAAGAGAGGTTCGTTGGAGAAGAGTTGATCGATGGGCTTGGTTTCCTCGAGCTAAGAGGATGGAGTTAAGCACGTGCAAGCTGTCCTTTGTGGTGGTGCGATGTCAAAACCGAGGCACAGAGTAAGATAAGAGAGGTATTTGATTTGGTGATGCTGGTGTTTCGTGAACGTGACTTGATAATGAGAATGGATGGATTGTAAGTGGTAGAAATTTGGGGTTGGAGGAAGCTGGGTGGTTTATCTGAGGGAGCTAGAGGTGGCTCAGAGTGGGCTAGATTTAGACTGAGAGATGGCGATAGTCACCAAATGACGATAAGATCAAAATAGTGCAAATGAGTCAAATATCGTGTTTTTACAGATCATAATTAGTAAAAATACCAGAAAATATGGCACGCTATGGGGGAGAGAAGACAAGTCAGATGTTGGGGCCTGTGGCTATGGTTTGAGATGCTGAGCTGTCACGAGTCACAGTGAATTGTATTGTACGACACAAGCAACTCAACGACCAAGCAGATCAGATCAGATCCAGTATCAGTGGAACCTCGAGGGAGCTGCACCTCGTGCCTGAAGGGCTCTCTCCGAATGGGGATTAGGAGGTTTCTTGGTGGTTATCGGTGACGCAAGGGGAATGGATCGATAACGTCTTGTTAGTCCTTGGGTCTTTGGGTCAGTTGATATGCTTTTGTCTTTGATAAGTATATATAAGTAAGTGTATATATACTATCTTTGAGATCAAAGTCGTTTGATCTGTTTCTTTGATGCAGTGAAAGTCATCTGTTGCTGTGGTTTGTTATCGCAAGCAAATTGTCTCCTCGTGAGGACTGAGTGAGACTGAGAGATCTTCAAAGTGTCACAAGACCAAGTGAAGCTTGATTCAACTGGGCAAGTAGCGACGAGTCGAGAGAGTTTGAAACCAGTCGTGATGATGTGAATGAGATACGGATTACTCGTCAACAGAGACGATCACTATCAGAACTATTTTGTGGCAATAACATCCAGTCAAAGAATTGTCAACAAAGTGGAGTTGAATGCTAAAATAAACGAGAGTGATTGCGTGCATCTCTGAGGTGCAATACTTCACGTGAAGGTATCTCAACTGCTCTTTGGCTCCAGCTGGTACTTTGTCAGACATGTCGTGTGCCTCTTCCACATCAACCCCACGGCTGCCTGTGGCGCCTGAGGTGCTCGCGTCTTCAGGTCATTGACCGCCTGCCCAGGTGGCCCCCTGTCCGTTAAGGTACCTCCACTAACAGGGGTCCTCCCAGCGGATCAGCCTAGGCACTCTGGCACTGACTGCACTGGGGATGGACGCAATCCGTCAGCGACTCATTCGCTGATAAGCCCCGGCCGTCCATCTGCCATCTGCCGCCTCGCCTCATGACCTAGGTACTTCCACTCTCTAACCTTTAACAACCAGCCATTCATTCATCTGCATCTCAGCCGTGATTTTTTGCCTTTGCCTGGACCACAGATTTATCTCCTCACCACCTCCGCTTTCCATCTACCAGCCTCCATTATTGCGATCCGGTAATCCAAACAACAGTCGTCTTCTACGCTTACACGGCGATACCTGTGGTTGCCTATCACCGTATTTACGTCACGTCAGATATCCACATCCAACAAGGACTGGTTCCTACGTATTTGCCCGCACGTGAGGCGGAAGGAGTTGAGAGCGCGCGATGTTTTCGGAGTGTATGTCCTATTATTCTCTACGACTCCTTGCAAGCAAGCTGACTTGGTTCTCTAGATGCATCGAGGTTCTTAGCCCAGTCACAATCCAGGCTATCGAACTTCGGACAAGCCGATAACAACGACAATCCTCCACGACAATCTGAGTGGCCATCCCGCTCCACACGAAATCAGCGCGAAACAGGACGGGGAAATGGACCCAGTAGATCTTTCTTGGGTCGGGGTTATGGAGGAAACCCATATCAACAAACCGGCGCTGGGTCTCGGTTTGGTCAATTAGCTTTCGCATCGCGCATATCAGCTGCCCAGGATGCACCACTATTCCACAGCACATTGGACGAATTTCGGGAAGAGGATGACGAGGAAGAGAGGGATCGAGAGGCTGCCGATATGTTTGCTCTTCAGAGGTCAAGACGGGTAGCAGCTGCAAGCAAACTTGCCGACAGTGTTGAATCCGACGCCCATAGCCGGGGATCTTTGGAGGACAGCTTGAATCATGAAGGCCCATATCGAGATATGAGCATGCGCCGCGGTATTCGAAGCAGCTGGAATGGAACAAGAAGCACCCACCGCCCAGGACTTGCAAGAGATACCATAGGAGAAGAAGCCGAGGACGATACTCGTTCAAGTGAAGACCGAGAAAGCAGCCGTGGAACCGATGCTAAAGGCAAAATGGTCGACGTTGGACTCGAGTCGCAAGAGGATCCAGATGAGGACCCTCCGGCTTCGCTTTTGGGAGGGCAAACTCCACGAGACAGCAGTCCTCCGGCTTTCCAGCAGTTTAAGGGTGCGGATACGGAACGAACACCGTTTATGACGAGGCGAGAGTCTATGACCGAAACCGATGCTAGCATACAGCGGGATGCTCCCCAGGAGGAAGAGCCTGTACAAACAACCTTTCAATACATTGAGGGCGAAATCTTTCGACATGACCCCTTCTTTGCTTGGATCTTCTTAATCAGTCTTGCTGGTATGCTCTCAACATTCTTCTTGGTGTGGCTTCACACATCACCGCGAAAAAGCCCGGTCGGCGATACCATCTACACTACTCTACAAAAGTCATTTCACATGCTTGCGGTGGATACAGTAGTGGCTGTGTTTGTATCGTTCATCTGGCTGGCAGCCCTCCGCTCGTTTGTGCGGCCTCTGGTCAGCGTGATCTTGGTTGCAGTACCAGTCATTTTGTTCTCCTTCTCGATTTACTCCTTTGTCTCGTCTTTCAAGGGCCGATGGCATGGGGGCAGCTTCCAAGATTCTGTCATGAGATGGGCTTCTATAATCCCTGCTATCTCGTGCATATTATGGATTTGGCTTGTAGTACGAGGACGACGCGCTATCCAACAGGCGATCGAGATTCTCCAATTTTCCAGCCGCATTCTGGCCCAGAACTCGGCGCTGCTGTTCGTTGGTTTTGGATGTTTGGCCTTGATTGTCGTGTGGACCTGGGCATGGCTCGCTATGTTTACCAGGGTCTTCATGGGCGGTCATTTCAGCAAATCTATGCTCCGTTTCGTAATTCAGCTTTCAAGCTGGTGGCTTGGAGCTGCGTTCATCTTCCTATATATGTGGACGGTCTCGGTGATTAATGCCGTTCATCGTGCTACGACAGCCGCAACTGTATCCCAGTGGTACTTTCATCGAAATGCTGGGCCTGCTACGCCTTCGCGCGAGATTGTTTCGGCTGCTCTCAACCATGCGCTTACGACCATTTTTGGCAGTCTCTGCGAGTCGACTCTTTTGTCTCTGCTGATTCGAGCACCTCTGATTTTCCTACCCAGAAAGCTCGGGGCTACCGTCACAAATATTGCCTCATTTTGGATTCCAACACCGGTCATTGCGCTGATGAACCCGCTGACTATTACTTACTCAGCTATACACTCTCAAAATCTTGCTACTTCGGCCAGGGGCCTGGATCAGATGGAGCTTGTATCTCCGACAGTTCCTACAACTACATTGACCCCTCGAGCCTTGCGAAATCGTGGACAGCCCAATGGACTACTGCCCTATCGGCTTGCTAAACTGCTGCTTGTGGCAACACGACTTATTATGGCTACTGGGCTTGGTTTTGCAGGTTGGGTAATCACCGCTAAGCAGCTTCGAATTCAGCTACCAGATGGCGTGGGTGTTCGGGGCTCTGCTTATGCCTATGTAGTCGGTATGATGGCCAGTTTCATCGGTTACTCTGTCATGGGCGCGATGGAAGGGATCTTGAGCGGTATCGTTGACGCAGTTTTGATCTGCTACGGTAGCGAAAGACGCATGGAAAGAGGACATGGCCGATTCTGTCTCGAGGCAGCATATCTGTTTGGAGAGCGCCGAGGAGGCGACACGCTGGAGTACGCATAGTGGGAATGCTCGACAGTGGTTTTTTTAGCTGGCGCATTTGGTTCAACGGGTCGGACGGGATAGATCCGTGCAGCGGAGGACTCAGGAATATGTTCAATTGACTTTTGGGTTAGGGGTGTTTCTGGATGGAAGAGATCAGCTACTAGACTTGAATATAACGAGTCTTGAAAAGTCATTTGATTGAGTGAATGAATATGCTAAGGGTTATTGACTGATATCTCCAGGTCTAGGCTATGGGTCATTCTGTGGAGTTGCAATCATTGATCAAGGGTGTTGTTAAAATGCGCGCCCTTTGGTAGACGAGTCAGAGCCAGAACCGCCAGTGACTACTATCTGACTCAATCTTGACCCCAATTCCGTCAGGCTCAAGGTAAGAACGGCATGATTCTTAGAGGCTTAAAGCAAGGACTACATTATCCTTCTCTTGATATTTCTCAGTGATTGGTTAAAGCCTTGGAGATACCTGCCTGATATCCATACTGCTTCGGCTTTGGCAAGGGTCAAAGGGTTACCACGATCGCATTTATAAGAGGAGAACTGGTCTTCCCCTTGAATACTTCGAGTCGTCATCGAATAAATTCCCATTGTTATGAGTCAACATCACTAGCTCACAAGAAGCCTTACTCTACGTCTCCCACAACCCACAAGAGTACACATCCTTGATCATACTCAATATGTCTGCCGCAAAATCCATCACTATTATCTCTTCTCCCTATCACCTTGGTATCCGAGATGTTGCCGTCGGCGCTGGACCAACAGCGCTTCTCAATGCTGGTTTCGTCGAGGCAATTCGCAGCCTGGGCGTGGCTGTCAACCAATTCGAGCTCGAACCTGTTGATGACTTTGAAGGCGATATCGGTCGCCTTTTTGAGCTTTTGCGTCGCACTTCCAAGGCTGTGGCAGATGTGGTTCGGAAGGGTTCCTTTCCTGTCATCTTGGCTGGTAACTGTTCAACTACTGTTGGTGTCCAAGCCGGTATAGCCACTGCTCTTGGAAAAGTGCCTTCTTGTGTTTGGTTCGACGCTCACGACGATTTCAACACGCCTGATGTTCTTAAGAGTGGATATCTTGACTCAATGCCTGTTGCCATGATGGCAGGTCTGTGCTGGAAAACTCTCCTATCCAGCATCCCTGGTTTCGAAGCCTTGGATCTCAAAGATAACCTTGTGCATTGTGGTATGCGAGATGTGACAGATCTTGAGCGCTCTCGAGTCGAGGAAGCTGGCTTTCCTGTCATTTGGGGAGATTTAGAGGATCATGTTGACTTCGAAGGTGAACTAGGCAAGGTTCTTGATGGGAATAGGTTTAGCCAAACGATGGTGCACTTGGATCTTGACGCCCTCGATATCTCTGTCGGTAATGTCAATAAGTTCTCTGCGCATGGTGGATTGCTGGAGGATGATCTAGAGAAATGCCTGAAGATGATTCCTTCAAAGGCGAAGCCGGTGTCACTGACGGTTGCATCGTTTGATCCTTCTTATGATGTACAGGGAACTATTGAACCTGTTGCTATCAAGGGGGCCGTTGCTTTCGTTCAGAGCTTGGTTTCACAGGGATTTCTTGAAGGGTCCTCGGATTAAGTAGTAGAGATAGACCGTATGAGAATGAAAACTTGATTCATATCACAATATCACATCAGGGTCAAGATAATAGACCTCATGTTTATAATTTGTTGGTTTTCAAGCTTCATGAGATGTTTTATTGCTTATTCTGGGTCAATCTTGATCAATTACAAATAAAAACTTATCCAATCATAACAGACATCATAAAAAACAAAGGGAAATCATTCCAAGGATAACAGTTTACCGATCGTTGAATATTAAGCAGAAGACACAATCCATGAGGTTGCCGGAGAATGAGCCCGCTTAGGGATCGGAGCAGGCTTTGGTAGAGTCCAGCCGAGCATCGACATGACAACTTTGGGTGCAGTGGCTATGATTGGAGCCGGAGCTGTCATAGGGGCTCGAGCTGTGTAAGGAGCTGGAGCAGTCTTGGGTATAAATATTGTCGATGTGCTGAGTGTGACTGAGCATCTTGGAACTGATGCCGTATTGGGGATAGAAGCAGTCATTGGGGCAGAAAATGTTGCTGTAACGGAGGGCATCGTGGGAGCAGTTGACCTTGATGAAGTAGCTGGTACTTCTGAAGGTAGTGCCTTCGAGGGCTTTTGAGTGACTTCAGGAATATGAGGAGATTGCACAGGTGTGCTCTTCTTACGAGCCTGAGTCTTGGGCTGGACCTTGGGCTCCATCTTTGGCTGAAATTCTTTATGCTGAGCATTAGACACCGTCTGATGGTCAACTTTGGGAGGAGTGTGTTTGACTTCAGCTTTCGGCTTGGGTCTTGTTTGTTCATTGATCGGCTTGACGCGCATGACGATAGGCTCTGGCTCATCTTCCACAGTTGGAGAGGGGACCGTTGTTTTCTTGACCAGCTCAGCTTTTGGCTTGGATTCAACCTTTGGCTCGAGCTTCTGTGTGATCTTCTCCTCAAATTTGGGCATTGGTTGAGTAGTGGCCTTGGGCTCCTCTCTGAATTTTCTTGGGAGAATAGGCGACGCAGGCTCCGGAAGTACAGTCGTCTTTGTTGGAGGCTCTGGTAAAGGACGCGGTGCTGGCCTGGGTGTAGACACCGGCTGGGGCGATTCTTCCGTCTTCTCAATATCCTTGGTCTTCTCAACAGTCTCGGGTTGCTTTTCAGGCCTTGTGTCGGACAACTTGGGTTCATCCTTGATCTTTTTGTCTACAGGGGAAGGCAACGTTCCAGGCTCAATCACTGTTCCAGTTTCAACTGGCATGCCAGACCCAACAGGTTTGCCATGCCCAAGAAGCGGCTCTGAGTTAGACGAAAAGAATGGGTGAGGGGGTACCGCTTCGCGTTCTTTCGGAGGCGCGGTATCAAATCGAGACACAGATGGTCGAGACTGTTCAACATCCTCTTTCGTAGTCATACGTGAAGATGTAGAGAATCGAGACGATGTTGAAACTCGGGAACCGTCGAGTGAGTCCTTGGAGAAGCCTGAGTCTGCTGGCGAAGTTGCTTCTGGGTCATCGCTGTTTGTACGCTTGAACATTCGGCCGATGCGTTTGGCAGCTGACTTGGCTGTAGGCCGACGCTTGAGAGACTTGATTGAACCAGGCATGTTGGATAATGGGAATGAAGTTGCTGGGAGCTCAGGAGTAATGGATTTCTGGGGTGCTTGGGTCTCGGCGAGGATTGTCTTATAAGCGGAAGACTCGGTGTTGTATCTACAAGGATGGATAGAGTACAGCCGGCTATTAAGAGAGCTTATGGAGATACTTTATCAGGGGATGCTGAGGTCTTGAGAGTTCGTTGGAGTGTTGTATAAGTAATATGGTTAAAGAAGCACAGGGACTGAGAATCAAGAGCCAAACCAGACGAGAACAGAAATGAGAAAGGACTTGGGATAACTACAGATATTTATAACTCAACCTCAACAGCACAACACTTTTGAGTCCTGTTGGATTGTAACTCGGGCCATTCCGCCCCGTGGGGCCGCCCCCGAGATCGTAGATGGATGATCCATGTATGTAACTGCACGACATAAGAGCTGAAAGGTCTGTGTTCCACCTGAATCACAAATCTATAGGCCATCGATGCTTCAGGGAACGTGACATTATCTGCAAGAAACTGGAGCTGTAAACAAAGGGACACGTCTTCAGCTCAGGTGGTCATTGTTTGTTTTTTATCGCAGGGAATATGCTGCCGCCGGACGACCGCTCCGGCTGAAGTCGGGAAACACCCGGAGCCGGCCGGATCGGGGCCGGGATGAGAGTCGATTGTGAGCCGCAACCATTCAATTCGGACTATCACAAGGAATATAATAAAATCATTTTCTAAAGAAATCATGTATTTGGTGAATCCCTCTTGAAAATGATCATTTAACATGATATGACTCTCTCTCATGTACAAGACGCGGCCCATATCGGGGCGGGAGAATTGTTCCGTATATGCAATGGAGGACGGTTTATGTGTTTCAAAACTGCACCTGCATATGCATGTCTTGCATGTCAACTAATCGGAAGTCTATAATATTCATATGCTCTATCTGTGTTATATGTCGGCAACTTAACCATAGACGGGTCTACGGATGCTGCCCCGTCTTCTCTTCCATTTATCATATCAAAGACAGTGAAAAAGCAGCAAGTTGTTGTCTGTAGTACGAAAATGAGTGCCCATTCGGTAGCGTAAGAGAGTATTCAAGTAAGCGTATGGTATAATGGCCACTAATTGTCGGGGTGGAATTTGTGAAGAAACGCAATTGGAACACAAGGTACGAGTTTCACGAAGGATTTAGACCAGCATTTGAAGTAATAAAAAGATTCATGCTCTATGTTCTCGGATCTATATGTATGATGAAATATAAACATGTGAATCAATGTGTGTATGTACCAGCATCACAACTCAACAACCCAATGCCATCGCAATGCACATTTACTGGTTCCAGTTGTTGAATTGCCACTTGACCTAAACATAATATTAGCAATTGATCAGACAACACATTAGATGTTAACTTACGTAGCTGGGGTTGATCTTCTGGATATCAGGGACACCCAAGTTGCCAGCGTCAATGGCAATCTCGTGCTTAAGAATATCGATGACCTTCTTAACACCATCAACACCAAAGACGTTGGCGTACATGAAAGGACGTCCAAGGCCAACAGCCTTGACACCGAGAGAAAGAAGCTTAAGGACATCAGCGCCATATCGGACACCACCGTCAGCGTAGACCTCAATCTTCTTGAAAACCTCAGGGGCCTCCTGGTGGATCTCAAGAGCGACCTCAAGACCAGAGGGGCTGCCATCAAGCTGACGACCACCGTGGTTGGAGAGAATGATAGCGGGAGCACCGTGCTTAACAGCAAGCTTGGCGTCGGCAGCAGAGCCAATACCCTTGATGATAACAGGGAGCTTGGTCATCTTCTGGAGCTTCTTGTAGTAGTCCCAGGTGATGTAGGAGTAGTCGGAGTCAGCAGAACCAACACCGAATCGAGCAGCACGGTGTCGGTTGCCGTCAGCAGCAGAGTCGACGGTGAAGATGATGGCAGCAGCACCAGCCTTCTCGGAGCGGTCGAGGAGCTCCTGGGTCTCAGTGTCGTTGGAAGTAAGGTAGAGCTGCTGGAAGACGACCTGGCCCTCAGCCTTGGCCTTGGCGATCTCCTCAATGGTAAGAGAGGCGTAGAGAGCGGGCATGTAGAGAATGTCACCCTCACCAGCACCCTTCATGAGGTTAAGCTCAGCATCAGGGTGAGCGTTACCAGCCCTGGCGCAAGGGCTGATGAAGAAAGGAGCTGAAAAGTTGTGGCCCAGGATGGTAGTGGGCAGAGTGTTCTCAACATTGGTGATATCAACCATAGTTCGAGGCTTGAAGCGATAACGCTGGAAGACCTCGAGGTTGTTGCGGTACGACCACTCGCCGGCAGCACCGTTACGGTAGTATGTGTAGTTCTGGATGGGGAGGTAGTTCTTAGCAGCCCACTCAAAGTCAGGAAGACCGATCATCTGCTCCAGCTTGGGGAGCTTTCCGGTGGGAAGATCGCCAACGACGATCTCGAGACCAGTGTCGGGCTGCTCGAGGAAAGGACGAGCAGCCATGGCCCCCGAGAGGAGGGCGCTGGCAAGGATCTGAGTGCGCATTGTGATGAGAATGAGTGTGATGGGTAGTAAAGAGCGTCTGAGGTTGGATATGGCTGGGGAATAAGAAGTGATGATCGGAAGGGCGAGGCGGCTCTTTTAAGCTTTAGGAATGCTCGTGATGTCAAGACCGAATACCACGGAAAACATGTATTCCATGGCCAAGGTCATGGTCATGGTCATGGTCAAGGGTGTTTGCCTTGTCTTGATGAACCCATCTGCTCTGCCTGTGTTAGTTAGTTCGTGCGACTGACATGTCAAGCCTCCTTGCAAAGTCTAACAGACGGAGATACTAACTAAGACCAATGGCATTGATACGTAATGCGATGCAACGGCAGACATGAGCCACGCATCGGAGTGCCGCTGTCTTGGGTCCACTACCGAAATTGCGCCTGTAGCAGCTTCTACTCTATCTGATCCGTTTCTGTAACAGGTGAAAGGATTTTTGTATTGGCACTTGGGCACTGGCAGGTATGTGATAGTGATAGTGACAGATATCGGAGGACGTTCATACTACATTCCTCTTTGGTGTTTGTTACCGTTTTTGTTATACGGTATCAAGAATACTACATTACTCGTCATATACACGCCGTCACATCTTGGCAACTTGGCCCAATACACCGGTTCAGAATTCATCCGTTCTCGAGGTGACGATGGGGTATAATGAGATACAGCATGTTTCTTGGCAGGATGATCCCTGTAATTCATGTCATTCACACCTCGATCGCATAGTTCAACAGCGTCAAAGTCTAAAACGCGGGAGACGGTTACTAGATCGGGCATTTACTGTAAAGTTGTGACAGGTTCAATTCATGAGTATGTTTCTCTAGTGATTGGCATTAACAAAGCAACGAGTCAGCCCCCTGTGCGGTTAACCTGAAATGTTTTGTTTGACGATAACTTTAGGTAGTAGTTTAAACTTAGAAAAACCAAACAATCAGGGCAGACCAGGGAGGGAGTATCGCAAAACTAGCAGAGTTTGTCTTGGATCACTAATGCTCACATAAGGATCCGTGATCCATATGAGGCAATCCCCTGTTACGCATAGAGTATCCGGGTGATGCTCCCTCTGTTTCACGAGCATCACCAGCCAAGGAACTGAATAATCTCTCACTGTTAAGGATCTCGGTGGATCTTTTGACAAATGCTGGGATGAATGATGAATGTCACTCTTGTTCGATATCCCATCCCACTCGGATACAGTATCCACCATGTTTTGTAATCTTGGTTGATGCGTATTTAGAGTTTTTATGCTTGTCTAATAAACCAATTTAGGTAGGACGAAACATGACGTTGAAAATGAGGCGCAGACAAGACATGACGAGTCAAGCTAGTTAACTTAGAACAAGAACATCTCGCCATGTGTCACGCCATGCAAGTTCTCTATTTCATGTGCATCGCAACGCTGGTCTTCTAGAATATTTCCAAAGCCGGGAACGGAGAATGCCTTCCGAATGCACGTTTACAGGGTATCATATCGAGATAACCAACTAAACAAGGGTCACATTCTCGGTGGAAACGTCCCCTTCATCTCGGCATGAATTCCTGCTCGGTCAGTTCCTCGTCGGCCAGTTTCTGAATCTATCGGTCAGTTCTTGTGAGCTGCCAGAAACAGACTTAGCGGTCACAACAAAGATTCCGTTAGTCATTCAAGTGCCGGTTTCTCGCTAAAGAGAATCGTCCCGCTCGCCTGGAGTAGAAACTATGGCGCCGGAAAAGGCCTAAAGGATGCCCCCACGTAAGCTTAGCCTTGATCTTTCGTCTTATCAATCTGTGATCTTCATCAGATGTTATTCATCAAAGTGACTGCAGTACTTTTGATGAGATTTAATGTCCGTTGACCTATCTACAATCTGCCAAGCAACGAGGTCAGGCAAACATTTAAAGACCATAACCCGAATAAATGAATGCATTAACCAATCATAGACCGCCTTGTTTTGTCTGAGACCCATTAACCCTACCATCGACAATCTCTCTTGGTCGGGAAAATTCAGCTCGGTCGTCCATCTCGTCCGTCCGACGAGGGAATGCTAGCTCCGAGACTACGAGGGTATTTCCATAACAGGAGACAAACAGTATCAAACACAGTCTTTAGGTGGATCATTTGTGAAGTGTCGTGACTGGTTATGAAACGAGATCTCAGATCACTCAATGCCTCTGGTCACTTATAAACGAACTGTGAGAGTTGAAATATGCCTCTAGGACTGTCTCAGCACCGCGAATGTAATCAAGCCCATGCCGTCGATCAGATTAAGATACACAGGTATCATAATGGTCCTGTTATGTCTCTTTGATCGCTAGGGTGAGAGAGTAATACTGATCCAAGTTATGATACTGTCAGATCTAATCGCGCCGAAATACTACCCTGTCTCGGTGCACCTGTTACATAATGAATCAATGGGAAAATCGCTTTACTATTGTTTACTTACGACGATTGATGTTGTGCCCAGTGAGTGAAGGTAGTTCCAGTACTGAAATTCCTTCCTC